AATAAATAAATTAATTAATAAATAATAATAATAATAATAATAATAATAATAATTCAAAATGTATGTATTTGTCTAAACATTTTGTAATAATCAAACAGCTGAGTGTGTAGAATAACTGCCCATTAAATAAACAAATAAGGTAAAATATGTTTGCTTACGATTTCTAACCAGGTGACAGTATCACAGAGTGGTTATCATTTACCAAAACCACATGTTACATTTAATGATATTCTAATTCTAATTTGTCCATGAGATGCCTTTATGTTACGCTTAATTTTTGCCACCAGTTGCCTCCATGGATTTTAGACTGGCCTATTTGTTTCTAAACTTTTAAAGGGTCTATAGATCCTTACAATCCTGTCAAAGGGTCTTCAAACAGCAGCAGTTGCCCTCCGTTCTCAAGCCCCACTCTTCGGTTACTGGTTGTGTTGCCTTTTCACCACTAGATGGCGCAAGTTGCCTCAGTTATGGCCCTAAAGTTTGCTTAGAAGTGGAAGCTTTTTAACTAAAATGTTTAGCTCAAAGATAAATACACTTTAAGCCCAAAATAGTTACGCCAATGGTACATTTTATTAAAGACAATATTTTACTTAATGTAATAAACTTAATATAATTAAAACTGCACAATTATAGAATATTGCCTACTTTGTTTTATTATTTTTCTTATCGCTTTTCTCAATAATCCTTAGAAAATCCTTCATTTTCTATCCACTCTGTATTAACACACCCAATGAGTATTTTTTTTTACCGTTTCTCTAATCCTCAATCTTTTCCCACATTGTTTTTTGTCTGATGTTTTCTGCAAAATCTCAATGCACTCTTCTTCTTCATGGTGTAACATGTTTGTCTGGCTCATTGGCTGAAAAACAGCCCAGCAGCATTATGTGCCCTCCCCAATTTGATATTCTAGGATGATGATATGGAGAGGAAGACTTCTCTTTACCTCCTCCTCAGACATACCACATCCCTCTGTGCAATTTTTGTTCAATCCCAGAATTGAGGAACAAACGGCTACATCTCAGTGGTGATGAGCTTTGGTGTGCCTGACTTCTGGTCACATTATCTACATGTGACAGAGCTCTTTATGACTTGAAACTGGAAGCCTTCAAATGAAATAGTAATGTATAAATAATAATAAATCTATTATTTAATGTAAATCTGTTATTTAATCATTTTGGAACTATTGAAACATACACATTATGTTTCATTTTTCTTACTTTGTTGAAAATTATTATGAAACAGTTGAGTTGGTGAACTCTTGGCCTCTGATGGTGTGATGGTGTGAATTAAAGGACAGAAGTGAGCTAAAGGTACAAGTGTAAGAGCGCTCTATATTTAAACACTCTCTGGTTTCTGCAGCTGTTGAAGCCAAGTTGAAGTTGAGCATTAGGGCGCCTGCACAAACCTTTTCTCTGTCATTCTGCACATAGCAAATTTTGTCTGTTATATTTTTATAAATACACTGATTAACACTATTGAACTAAAAGACTGAAAGGAAAGAAAACATGAGCTATTGTGTAGAAGGGAGCCAGGCGCCAAATAAAAAAAATGTCCCGTATAATGACAAGTGCCAGAGTGTGTTCTGCCTGGGTTCTAATTTTCTCATGCAGCCTTTAGTTTGTTCTCTCACAGACTCACTGTCTCTACTCTCTATTCACTGGATGCTACTGATGTCACTACTGTCAAAATATCAAGCGAAATCTTTATGTTCCCATTTAATACAATGACTTTATTCTATAAAGTATAAAGTCATTGTATTAAATGGGAACATAAAGATTTTACCCTCGTGTGTGTCTGGATAGAAGCAGTCAGTTTTGCATCTTGATTTGTCAGAAATAAAAAACTACAAATTCTAACAAGATGTTGTGGTTGTTGTTGTTGTTTTACCTCTTTGAAACATATAGAGGATGGATATGAAACACAACCTCCAAGGGAGTTCGGTGTTTTCCTGTTTGTGCTCAACAAAAAGGACATAAAAACAGTTGAAGACACAAATGTAGGTCAAGAGTCTTGTGGGTGTTGAGCAGTCCTGTCCAGGAGCTGCCCACATTCTATAACTGAGCTGTTTGTCCTTCAGAAAGGTCCGCACAGTGGTAGTGAGCGCTATCGCTGAAAGTTCTCACTATTTGGATAATACCAAACACACTGGCCTTTTCTGAGGATGTCCCGCACACTGCAGCAGTACACCAAACCCACAGACCTCTGCTCCAGTGGAATCTGTCCTTTTATTTTCCTTCTCCTGCTCCATTAACAAATAGCTGGGGGTTAGGCAAACAAGGCTCTGAGTGTTGTTTTGTCGATGTGGTTGTTAAACATCAAAAGTGTGTCTTTCTGCGCTGCCCTCACACTGGACACACTCGAGTGCAGCTCTGACTGTAAATGAGCAGTGGGAGAGTTCTCAGGAGAGAGAGGCCGGAATGGGAAGTTTATTTTGCTTGGTGTGTGGATATACTACATGTGGATGTGGAGTGGGAGCACTCTCCATACTTTCACCTTCATGTCACCACACATTCAGAGGGTGATGAATATTTTAGAGCAGCAGAACTATAAATCCACAAGTCGTAATCACTAACAGATAATACTAGGGATTTAAATGATGTATATATTTATATTCTTAATTTCTATTTGGTATCAATTGAATGTAACAGAGAGGCTTCAGATTAATAAAAGTTGAACTGGACCCACAAATGAGTTCATTCTTTAGTGCAAATTTGACTATACTCTTTGTACTACCTACTACTCTACCTACTGCCAACTTTTTTTTTTTTTTTTGGTGAGTCATTTAAAAAAAAAAGTTTGTACTGGATTTTGTTTCTGCATTACCCTGACCTGGCCGCCCCCACTCTCGCGCCCGGGACCAGGCAGCATTTCTCTGCAGCTTTGTCCCTGCTCACAGACACGTTTGGCACACACTGGATCAGGTTTCCACTTTCATTTCCTGACTGGAACCAGGACGGGTTCTTTGTCCCAGACCTCCATAGATTATGTGTATGTGATTGAGGGGATGGAGGGTAAGGGGCTCATAGTAGCTTGGTTACAAGCTCGCTCAGGTGTGGGCAGATTAAAAAACAGTCAAGTCTTCCAGGCCCCATGGGTGAGTCCTTGGACATGAGATGTGGGTGCAGGATACAGATGAGGATGAGGCAGGTGAGAGCTGGGACAGGTGATGTGTGGTGTTTGAGGGCTTTGAAGATTTCACATAAACAATGTCGACTCTGCAGTCATCAGCTGATCTCACAGTATCCTTTGCTGAATTTTGCATATAGAGAGCAAATTTACTATAGGTTGTTGTTCTGCATGGCAGGGTGCTGTATATTAAAATGTATGTTCATCAGGATTATTTTACTAGTTTTCACCAATAAGTAAAGTGACTAAGGTCCCTAGAACAGCACAGAGACAGCTCTGTGTATGATACACACGCCTGTGGGCACTGAGGCCAGAACATTGTCAGATCCATGCATCATTGGTAAGAAAATCCTAGTGCCCTCCTCCTCTGTATTGGAGCCCCCCTCGTTTGGCTCTTAGACCTGAAAAGATCCTTTTGTCCCCTCTGCACACACACACATACCTGGCAGGCACAGAGCTACCTGTGCAGTGTGTGAGGCTCATGCGGGCTACTCGGCCTGTTTATTTGCACACATTAGGAACCTTCCTGCTGTTGATTTAGAGCCTGTGCCACTTCAGTCTCCTCCAAATGAAAGGGCGTGTGGTGACGCTGTATGTTTGCCCTCAGCAGCTGTTGAGCAGGGCCAGACTGTGCCTCTGCCTTTGTGCCCAGCTCCACAAGGCACCCCCAGTGCAGCCAGAGACACACAGCTCTGGAAGTCCTGTCTGAAGCTGGGGATTGTGGCCTTATTAAAAGTCCAGAGTGAATTTCCGTGTTGGATTGAGCAGGGAGTGTCACATCCCCAAGGTGACCCTGAGAGCTACTGCCACTGCTGCTGCTGTGCATGGGATCAATAGATTAACAGGCGGCTTTGTGTTCACCTGTTTGTTAATTTGTGAATATGCATATATCCAGAGCCAAGAAACAGCCAGCAGTGATGAGAATCACACAAAAACATGGCACTATTCAGATCACACTGAGGCGATAGGTATGATGGAGGTGGAGGAGAGGATTGACGCCTGGTGGACCTTTGCACTGGTCAATCAGCATTGATTTTAATTTTGGTAAAGCCAGATGTGTTTGCAGTAAATGTTAACATTTCTATGTTTTTGCTTCACCATTCTCATAACTTGGCAATATACACATGTGTTTGGTAAAAGAAACTGGCTTGTCATGAAATATTGGTATAGGTAAGGTCCTATGGTCCATGCGCTGATATTCGGGGAGTTTAGGTGTGCTTCTTTAGACAACACTGTTTGCGGAGGTCTGCTGAGGACAGACAGGCTCCAGATGGAATCCTGTATTGAGAGAGTGATGGTTCTAAGAGTGGGGCCACTGGGAGTGTCCTCACATGGGGCCCTCAAACTGAGGCCCTCCGTTTCAGACCTCCAATCTCCGCAGTAATCAGCGCGTAATGCGCACTGCGACTGGTTCAGATTAGGCTCAGGAAATCCTTGGTGCTCTCTGCTCAAAACAGTTTAGGCTGACATGAGCCTGGGCGCATGGTTGGGGCGCGGATCTCCTTCGCACTGTCCTCACAGAATTGTGGTTGTTTGAGATATTTGCTTTTATGGTTTGTTCCATTTAGGTTCGTAGTTTTGTTTTGTTTTGAATTAATTAAAAATTTCCCTGCGATTTTCAACCCTTGTCTCCCAGTATTTTGTGTCGCTCTTTATCCCCAAAACTTTTACTCGCAAGCCGTTCTTATAAGGACGTTACCACAGGACGGGATGGAGGTCCAAATGTGAACTTTAACTCATGTGTTCGCATAATTTGGTCACATTTTGTAGAAATTACACAGACACAAATTTAGACTTTTGGTTTTATTGGAAACTAACCATGAATTTAAAGGAAAAAACGTAGTTTCCTTCTCAGAATTGATAAAGTTCTTTAACAAAAAATCATAAATAAGCAAAGGGGTGCTATACCCCAAGTGTTTCGTTGAAAAAAAGTGTTGGATGACCTTTTCAAGCGCGTAAAGTTCTGTTTTTATAGCCGAATTTAACGACAGACAGTCCATCTATAGGTTAAAGTAGCTACAATATTGAATCATACATACTCATATCTGATACACTTCTCAGTCCACTGCTCGCAACTCCGTGCGTCCTTTAAGAACCTAGATCCACAAGACTTGAGGTTAGAGGTCCCAACAAAGAGTCCTGTAGCTGGTGCGCGTGTCCGTGCATGCCGTGCACCGGCGGAGGCGCGCCCAGGCCGGAGAGAGGATACGCAGAGGCGGTCTGATGGGACATGTTTCCCTGCAGAAGTAGCGCCGAATTCGGCTCCGGACTTTGCGGTGGCGAGAACTCGTCCTCCGAGCTGGACATGAGCGACTTGCCTCCGTCCAGAGGCGACAGTTGGTTCTGCTTGTTCCCGCCCGCACCGTTGTTCTCGCTGTTTTCTCTGGAAACAAAAAAATCCAATTTAAAACAGGCGCGTTTTATGTAAGCTGCTTCACTTTACAGTCTTACATTGCTTACTAATTGTTAAAAAAAACCCGTGATGAATGAACATGACCCAACAACAAGCTACAAGTAATAATGTAGCAGAATATTTCAGCTGAATAGTCGCGTTCATTGTTGATTTCATTTAGGTTAGGCCTACAGTTTTTCTTTAATTGTTTAGGTCTATTTATTTATCTACTATTTATGTGATAATAATAAAAGCGATGAAATCCAATTTCTCGGTGTGTTATGTTTGGACGTTTTAGCCTAAATAGTAAATCCAAATATTTAGGCCTTTTTTCTGAGAGATCCTATAGGCTCCTGCATAGCTCGCGCGCATGAGCAATAGGTTAAAGGTCAGCTCATTAAACTATTATAATTTTTCATTTTGATTTATTTTTATTGAATGTTATAGCCTACTCAATACGTTGTGGTTGTCAAAAATAAATAGATAAAAAAAAGAACCACTTTCATTTTTCTATTAATTTACATTACAGATTCATTATGTAGCCTTATGTTTAGAATAATTACTGGTGACTGAGAGCCTGCTGTTAGGGTATTTGTTCTATTCTAATATTTCAATAGGCTAAGAGGACACTGCTTTTCATTGCCCATGGTAGACTATGTAAACACATGGAAATCCGTGCCTGAACTTATATCGCGCACTATGTGCGTGCGCCCTCAGCCGTACCTCTCTTTGGCCTCCGCAGCCCGGTCCCGCTGTCGCCGGTTCTTGAACCAGTTGCTGACTTGCGTGGTGGTGAGCCCCGTAGCTTCGGCAAGCTCGCGCTTCTCTCGGGGAGACGGGTACGGGTTGTGCGTGTACCACTCCCTCAGCACTCCCCGAGATTTCTCTTTGAAGCAGTAGCTTGTCTCTTCTCCGTCCCAGATGGTCCGAGGCAGCGGGAATTTCCTACGCACGCGGTATTTGCCCACTGCTCCCAGCGGTCGCCCGCGCAGCTTCTCCGCCTCCACGTAGTGCGCTTTAAGCCAGAGCTGCTGTAGTTTGGGGTGATTGTGCGGGGAGAACTGATGACTCTCCAGGATCTTGTAAAGCTCACGGAAGTTGCCCCGGTGGAAGGCGACCACGGCTTTGGCTTTGAGCACCGACTCATTTTTGTGGAGATGGTCACAGGCCGGCAGAGACCACAGAAAGCGGCCGAGGCGCTCTAGGTTGCCTCCCTGTTGCAGTACTTCACACACACACGCGACTTGCTCCTGCGTAAAACCGAAGGACGGCAGAATAGACATTTTGAGGTCCTATTTTGTCTCACAATCGGTGTCCGGTCCTGGCGCGTCAGGGTCCGCCGCCTGTGGGCCCTTGTGCTGCGCGACAGATCGCGGATGTTGATTGTTGGGACAATTTGTTCCTGTTGCAGATATGTCAGACTTGAAGCCGTTGTGCAGTCGGTGATTGGTTCTCCGTTCTGCCCACTACCCCGTTCCGCAGAGCGCAAGACTGACTTGTGCAGCTCCGTTTCCTCCCCAGAGGCAGTGCGTCAGGGGCTGAAATAGGAGCGCTCTCCCCTCCGCCACCAGCCAACATCCACCCCCAGCGCACAGTGAAAAAACTGCTATGAAAGATACACTTATCAATTAAAGCAGGCTCTTGAAAACATGTGAAAATCATACGATGCTCGTCGCTGTTATATGGGAATATTGGAAATATTCTCAGCCCATATTGGCTCTAAATAGCCTAAATGGAAAGACATAAAATGCTTTACATTTATAGGACAATGATCCTTTCCCTTTGGTGTTCTGTTAAGGCCATAGGCATTTCTATGAACAAATGAAAATGAAAATCATCAGTATCATCGGTTTTATAGCTTCTACCATGCTGTTACACACTTTATTTATTCAGTTACATGGTTATTTTTTCTTTTCTTTTCTTTTCTTTTTTTTTTTTTTTTTTAACTTTTTACAAAATGCGTTTGGGTTTCTGAGGTTACTGTCTTCACAAAATCCTTCAAATCAGTAAGGAATCATTTTGGCAAAACCAGTTCACATCACTGCTAAAAACAAACTTTCAGAATGTGTGGGCCAGGAGAGGCAGCATGTGCCACTTCTTGTAGCCGGTTTGTCGTTTGTCATCCAAAGCATGGATAAAGTAAACTGCGTTTTGTGAGGACACTGATGTGGGAGGCTACTGCGTAAACCACAGCCTCAGTGAGGATGATTGTTATTTGATTTGATGTTGAGTCTGTGTTGATGTTACATTTATTACTAAGCTAATTGTAGTCACTTAAGAGTCTCTCTATCGGACTTGATTTCCATAGCTTAAGGTTGGCCTATTCCTATGAGTATATAAAGTTAGTTTAATTGGATGTCTAGGCTTCTTTTTCCTGTTGGCTACTTGCACATAAACCAGCCTATGGGCCCACACCCCACATGTTCCACGATAGTCCATGTCTCAAGGTAGACCGATGTTGGGTTAACCGGGTGCAAAAACGCCTTTCCAGGGTTCCCGGGTTATTTGTGACTGCGTTTTACGAGTTTGAAACCTGCGTAACCTACAGTAGGCCTAAAGTGCCATATGCGTGGTGATACGGCGGGCCTGTGACGCCCAGACCTTAATTAACGCCAGGCCTGGTGGCCTCGCGTGTTCATTACTAGGACGTTTATTTTACGAGGTGACATAATTCAATCAATTTACAAAACCCGCTATTCAGGGCGCACACACAGAGAGAAACCATGCACGGCAAAAAACAAACAAACAAACAAACAAACAAAAACAGCATCGTTTGTCGCATGATTTCTAGCTCTTTGTCTCCTCAGAAGGATGGGAGGTCACGTGTTTACTCTTCGCGTGTAGGTCTATGCCTATTTCAGGGATTAGATGGGCACCGCGCTGGCTCCAGGGCTGCAGCGGGGTCGGAAACCCGAAACCGCTCCATTAGTAAATGAGTTGTGCGCGACAGTGGTGCTCCATGGAGCAGTTGTTGGTTTTAAGGGACAGATCACGTTTCTTTATCTCTACCAAAGTGAAACCAGAGTCCGCTCCGCGCTCTGTGCTGAGGAGCGCGATTTGACCTATACAAAAATGAAGGACCTTTTAGAAACATGTTGGCTATAGAGACTCAGTCGTGAAAATTAGCAGCCAATACCTTTCTCTGCTAATTTTGTTTCCATTTGTTTATATCTAATTATTCTTAATGATAGCCTATATTTATTTTTAAAATAAGGCCATTAATTATGGTGATTACGTTAGACCTAGAAATTGTTCATTAACTTAGTTTAATTCATCAACTGCTATTTTGGCAATTTGCCAGTGTGTTTATCTTTTTATATATTATTATTATTATTATTTAAATTAATCCATGAAATGACAAATTGTGTTCTATGAGTGAGTCTGCATTCTTCAAAGCCTACAATGGGTAAAGTAAAAATCCTGCTGTGAGCGAGTGTGGCAGAGCGGGTCTGTCCCTGTGCTCCGGGTCTTTGAGAAAAGGCCGCTCTGAGAATGAGCTGTTCACTGCGCACCTCTCGGGTTTCGCTAATATCTGTAGCACATTGCGGGCGGCGCGCCTCCTCCTTTAACCCCAGCAGCCCCAGGGTAGCGGGAAGATTATTTCAACATGTGGACTCTCCTCTGCCCAAGTTGCGTTGCTCAGCTGTCACAAAGCAGCAATATTAATTTATAGGTGAGCCCATTGTCCTTTTCAGCCACATCATCCTGAAGATTTACGGGTGGAATGCACTCGAGGACCACATGTTGTCCACACTTAGAATGGGTATGGATACAGCAATTTTACAAGAATCCGTTGATGATAAAAAAAATAAAATAGTGGTCATAAAAAAGCAATAGGCGACCAGTGGCCAGCTCAGACGAACCCATGCTGTATGCAGGCCTATGCAGTTATTGTAATTAATAATTAATAGTTAGCCTAATATTAAGGAGCCTATTAGTATGCCTAGTCTGTGTCAGAAAGTAGTTAGGCCATATTGTTTCAGATGGTCCCGCAGAAATTCGAATCCTTGCGCGCACCTCCGGTCCGAGCGCGCGTAACGTGCCCGGTCCTTTAAACGTCAAACGCCGCTCATTGAAATGTGAATATGACGCTTCTGCAGTCCACAGAGAAACCGTCTCAATCAGGTTGTGTGTCTGTGTGATTGTCAGCTGTTTTGAGCGCTTGTACGGGACCCTGGCCCATATGTTCTAGATTAAAAGTGAGCTTTTATTGGCTGAGGTGAGAGGCAGTGAAGAAACGCAGCTTTCTCTAAACACAACACAACTGTTGACATGAGTGAGTTCAATGAAATTGGAGCTGCAATTATCAGCTTAACAGAGTTTCCTGTCATAAGTGCACCGGGGCCGGGCCTTCAGTCACTGATGTTCCCTTCTAACTTCAGCCAGGTCGCTTCTCAGAACACGCCCACACTCAGGACAGATGTTACGAAATGATTTGTGTTCTGGGGCCGAGAGAAATAAACCACCAGTCCTGAACCCACTCAGACCTGCATCGTGAGCAAACAGAAAGGGGGCGCCAGCACAATGCTCTAATGGCTCCAAGGTACCGTTTGTGACAGATGAATGACAGTGTTACTGTTTGATGAGCATGTTAATAATTCTTATCATCATGATCAACATCAGGAGCAGCAACAACAAAAATCATTTTGTTTAAGTGCTTCTTAATGATCATAGACTGCTGAACACAAACATGAATGGACATGAATTCTTAATGAACACCTCGTGCTTTTGTCTATTGACCTTTGTCTATATAGGTAATTGCACAAATTTACAAATATAGTCAGTATTCAGAAAGAAACTATTACTAAGAATATGTGCTGTTGTAGCAGCAGTGCCCAGTCACGAGTCCTGCCCTTTGACCTCTCATTAATGGCACTGACGCTCCACACTCAGGTTACATGTGGCCTGCAGTCCACTGCACTGCATTAAATGTCAGCTTTGAAACCATGCAAAGGAGCACAGATCATGTCTTTAAGAAGGCCACACTTCTGAGATAGTTCAGATAAGATAAACCTTTATTTGTCCCACAATGGGGAAATTCCTTACCTTTTCTATTTTGGAATGGAGTTTAACTTTGTAATTAAAAGTATATTTATTTCACATATAGTCTATGTGACTATATGAGCCGGCATTTTGCCTGGAGGAAACAGTGAAGTCAGTAACTCTTTGTTCTCTTAGAAATGAACTCCAGTTTCTCTTTAGGTGTAGTACAAAGGTTCGGGTTATGTCTGCCCCCTCCCCGTGAGAGCCACACACTACAGGCTCCTGATGCCAATGGGATATTGTTCTGGGCTCCAACAAAGCTGTTTTCACCCTCTTCAATATTACAGGAGGAGTCACATGATACCTGACAATCAGCTAATCCACTGCCCATAGCGAGCAGGTCACCTGTGCACAGGTAACTCTATCCAACCCCCTCCTCTGTTCCCGCTAAGTCGCTCCCATTCCTCCTCCTGCACGGTGAGCACAGACAAACAGCCACTGTTTATTTAGGGCATCAGAGCGACACACACAGGCCTGTCTGTCTTTAATCCACACTTTGCTCTCTCTAGGCTGGTCTGAGCTACAGGCACTTACATACTGCATATGCATCGTCTTTCATGGGCTCGAGTTTGTACAATGTTTTGGAGGGGGATGTGACTGACAGCTTATCCGCATGTTCTTAATGAAATCTAAGAGAAATAGGGAGTGCGGCCTTCACGGGGAAAACCCGATGGGCTGGACCCCCCACCCAAAAGAGCTGTACCTCTGGAAATCTCGTTTCTGTTTATTTGAATTACAGTGGCTGGACGAGAGAAGGAAGGCTAATGAAGTCCAGGTTGCAAGGCATGTGTAACCCATCACAGCCATCCACCACTCACCCACTTCTACAGTCTATTTCACACAAAATGTTATCAAATGATTTCAATCAAAAATACATCTTCTAAACACTTCTATCATTGTACAGATTACCTTTATAATTGTATTTTTTTTTTTTATAAATATAAAGTTTTATTGCAGTGTGGAGGATTAGAAAAATACATTCACATAATTTTAGTTAACAAACATAACAGTTTAAGTAATTTCCAAACTAAATGACTTAAGTGTTCTGTCTGTCTTGTTTTGTGAGGTTAAAGCTTGACTCCTGACTTCCTGAAGAGGCGGAGTATGACATTCACAATATTCACAACGCCAAAGTCAAAGGCACAAACATACTTTATAATATATTCTGACCACTGCCATGTGTTTAGTGCAAATGCCAAGAAACCGAAAGGCACATAATTTCTTATTTCAAACCCCCTTTTGCTCTTTTGGGAATAAAACTTGTGTGAAGATTCCAAATGACCTTTTTGGTGTGACGCAGATGATGCATTTAGTTTGAAGGAACATGACAGTCACATGACCTAAGGCATTCTAGCACCTGCTCCTACACATCACATCCACTCAACAGGAAGAAACAGGTGTCGTCTATAAAAATGTACATTTAACCGTGGCTCGGACACAGAGGCAGGCTTTTTCCACTGTAGTAGCAAACAACTTCAATGTTTGAATTTAATATGTCACTGCATTTTCATTTAACTAAAATGCTAAGGTCCACACTCAAGGCTTGTCTTTGTATAGAGTGCATTGTAACTGTCAAATGATAACAACATTTGCAAATAATTTAACATTCATAAAATAAGAATGAGAAAGAAAAAAATCAATTGACACGCACACACACTCACACAAATATAGAGCTGGGTGGGCAATGTCTGTGAGGTCAAAGGTCAGCCATGTCCTGCTCCATCTGCACAGTCTGGAGTTTGGCCAGCTCCTTCCCCTCCACAGATTCCCCGCACATGACCCGCACCATTTCACTCACGGCCCCTGAGTCCTCCGACTTACTGTCAGACAAGTTCATGTAATTGCCTGAGCTGATCAGATGTGTGGCCCTGACCTCGGGGCCCCCCAGGTACTCCGCAGACTGAAGGTGGTCGCTGTGGGCCGTCAAAGGCGTGCTCACAGTCAGAGTAGTGTAGACTTCAGGCTCAGAGCTGGAGCTTACCACTGCGGCCTCTGAGGTAGAGATGGGCCCCTGACTGTGGGCCCCCTGGTCTGGGCCGGGGCCACTGTAGCTGATGTGCGTGCCGTGCTCGAGCTGGAGGGTGGGGTGGTATGAGGAGAACACGTTGCTGTCCAGAGGCTCCTTCTTGATGGAGCCATGAGAGCTGGGGCCCATGCTGTAAAGAACTGTGCCGTGGTGGAGGGACGCCAGGGTCATCTCAGCACTGGAAGAAGACACTGACACATTGTTCAGAGGAAGAGAGGCTGTGGACAGAAGAAGCTCAGCGTTACCACAGGAGCCATTTGAAAAGGAATCATCAGTGACCGCTCACATTCACTCTATTCCTTATTAAAATCAATAAATGGCTGCTGGTAATAAAGATGTGGGTGGCTTTGGACCAAGAAAAAGACGATAAAATGCTTGTGGTAAACAAGATAATGACATAATGTTAGATCGTTTTAGATGAGTTTGTGTTGGATTTGCTTTAACATTCACAAAAAACTCACTTGATTGGCAATTACACAGAACTTTACATTCCATTTTGAGTCCCTGTCTGACTCCTGGCCTGACCTGCCTGTCCTTCTGAATACTGATGTAATAAGCCTACTGGACAAGTGCAGTCTGTACTATATCAGCAACGCCATAATGGCAGCGGTTAATGCCGGATGGCCTGATTTTCTGAAACTGCTGGGAACATGGGGAGCAGTGATGATGAGTGATGCTGACTTCAGAACGACTCATTTTTCTCTGGAGGGTTCAAAGAGCACCTCTGTGTGTGGGGCCTGGTTGGGACAGACCAGCACAGAGCAGAAGGACTGGGAGTGAATCTACCTGGTGCTTTAACATTAAAAAGAACAACTCTTTTGTGAGATTCCAGGTTTCTTTTGTTCCTGCAGAGCTCACAGGCCTCCCTCAGAGGAGCTCTCCCTGTCTAACATTAAAGAGTGCCACATTGGTATTACATACTAGCCCAGCACAGACTTTTTTATCTTATCTGAGACATTAAGAAAATAGTTTAGCCATGCCGTATACCACCAACACAGAAATCCTGTTGGCGAATCAAACCCCATTCAGCTGAATGGAAGGATAATAATCAAACATGGCTAGGGCTGTCCTGTTTTGATAAATTTACATATGACTTTGTAACCTTGTAGAGTCAAATATGAGTGTGAAAAGCCTGGTCTTAGGAGTAAGTAGGTGTTGGTCAGGTGTACCTTGAGCCACAGTGGAGGAGGAGGACAGTTGTAGCGGAGAGAGACCCACGTCACTGCTAAGGAGAGGGCTGCTGTCATTCTCTGTTACTGCACTGGGCACCGGCACCAGGCTGTATGCCCCCAGAGAGAGTGCGGAGGGGCCGTTTTGAGAGCCCATGTTGTGAATGCTCTCCAGCTTTACTTCAGTTCCATTCACACAGCCTGTGTATGTGCCATATTGCAGAGCAGGCTCCTCAGCTTTGTCTTGGCCTGTCTGCATGTGCATGTCCATTCCAGAGCTTCCCAGCAGCACCCCCCCAGAGGGTCGCAGAGGGCTGAAGGGCAAAGGTTGAATGCCCAGGCTAAGTCCATTGAACAGTATATTTCCTGGTGAATGCAGGTATGAGGAACCATTGTGGAAGGAGTTGTTGCTGCTAACCAAACTTCCATTATATAGAGGTCCACTGGTCGAACCGGGTGAGGCCTTGATGTCCCCAATCTGCTGGATTACCATCCCAGTGTCCAAGCCTCCCGTCTGGAGAGGCAGGGTTCCATGTGTTATCACTCCATCTGAGGAGTTGGACAGCGGTCTTGGAGACAGCTCCTCCTGACCCTTACTGGACTCATCCTCAGTACTGTGGTTCCCATCTGACTCACTGTGAAGAGGAGACAATAAGTGCTTTACAAACAGCAATTAAGTTTATTTTCATTTGTTATTCTAATGTAATAAACTGCATATCTGCGAGCCATGCAGAGTAAGATTTACGTTTGTTCCCATATCTATAGCGGCCTTTATTGCGTGTTATGAATGCCCCACCCCCTTACCCCATGTGAAGAAGGCCCCTGACACCAACACTCAAACAACATCAAGCGTGGAACCATTTGGCGCTATAAATTCAGCTGTGACAAAATGCCAAGACGGGTGGCTCGACCAGACATATGGACATAGAGATTCTAGTGGAGTCTTCCTCGGAGTTAAATCTCTTAAAATAGTTTGAATAATGTTCGAAGTGAAATCAAAGTGCCAAGCGCGTGTGTGAAACACACAGGGTCACCGACGCCACCAGGTGCGCACGCTTTGTTCTCTTCTGAGGGCATGATGAAAGTGTGTTTGAGCCCTGGATTATGAAAGCCTAACTTTTGATTTGAGGACGACATTGTTAATAATGTGTTTTACGGAACACCTAAAATGAAAATGAATAGCAAAGTCGATTGTATCCTCATTTGTGTCAGAGGTTATAAGGCAGTAGTAATTTTGTTGCCTATAGGTTTCCGTGCCCCCAGCACCTACACTCTTGAAACCGGATCTGAAGGGCAACAGCCTCATATTTCAAAACATTAAAGGCGTGCTCCGAACTATTTACGACTATACGCCTACTTTTATTCTTTATTTCTTTATTGGAGATAAACAAAGAATAGGATTTATCCTACTTTGTAAATACCGATTGAACGCTAATGGGCGCGCGCGACTGAAACGCGTAAAGCGAGTGAGTGCCCATAGACCACAAAGCAGCTTCATTTACGCAGTCATTCAGAACGTTATTAATTCACAATTTTCGCACAGCAAATAAATTATAGTGGAAGTTTGGGGAGTGCCCTCACCTTTTGGACTGCGCCTCGGAAGGGTTTCTGTCCCGTTGTCTCCTGTTTTTAAACCAGTTGCTGACTTGGGTCAAGGAGAGTCCTGTGATCTTGGCCAGGTTTCTCTTCTCGGCCGGAGACGGATATCTGTTTTGATTGTATAGATCCTTGAGCGCATTTCGGGAACGTTCCTTGAAGCAGTACACGGTCTCCTCTCCGTCCCAAATAGTCCTGGGGAGAGGGTATTTCCTTCGGATCCGATATTTGTCTACGGCGCCCAGGGGTCTCCCCCGCGCTTTCTCGGCCTCGGTGTAGCGGGCCTTGTACCACAGATCCTGCAGGAAGGTGTGGTTGGTGGCGCTGAAGCTATGATTCTCCAAGATACTATAGAGCTCCTGGTAGCGCGCCTGGTGGAACGCGACTAGGGCTTGGGCTTTGAGGATGCTCTCATTGCCGTGAAGCAAGTCGCTCTGCGGTAATGACCAAAGGAACCGGGCCAGTCTCTCCACGTTGCCCCCCTGCTGCAGTGCCTCACAAACACATGCCACTTGCTCCGGGGAAAAGGCCAGAGAGGACGCGGCGCTCACCAGCAGCTCTGCCCGCACCGCGTCCGCGTTGGGAGTAGCGCGCTCCATGGACAACTCCGCCGCGTCCAGCGCCTCAAGCCTGATGCACTTTTCCGCCTCTTTCACATTTTCTCTCTTGATGTCTGTTGCTCTTGTGACTACTCCGGCAGAAGAGGAAGACATTTTTTTGTTGAACCCTCTGTGTAAAAGTCACTCCTCCCAGCTCTCTCAGGTTACCTCCTCGCCATGCGAATGTGATCAGATATCTGACAGCAGCTGTAAGCAGATACTCGCTGCCTGTTCCACCCAACGTGACTTTTCCTCTGCGGGACTGAGCCGCGCGGAGACTCACTGGGGTCTATCTGCGGGACACACACGATTGGCCGGCCAGGGCCCGTGTGGGAGGAGCGAGCGCCATCCAGACCAGCGCTGTTTAGCTCTGGGTTGTCACTCATGACTCAGGTCTAACCCGCAGTTCACCTGTTCGAGGTGCGGGCTGGAAACTTGAGGGAATGGGATATCCTTGTACCTCAGACGAATGCCGAATGAATATGGCATCCGTAAAGTTACACACTGGGACATTAGATTATAGAGTTAACACTGACTTTGGTTTATTGGTAACTTGGAGAATCTTTTGACACCTTTTTAAATTGTATAATAAAAGTCACTGCTATTAGGCTGAAATTTCATCTCTTGTGCCAACTTCACCGAACTTGAAATTGCTATCTAGGCTTTTTTATTTTATTTTATTTTTTTTTTTTTTATGCCTAATTTGTATTTTTGCTTGTACATGTGCACATAATATGATCATGCTCAATAAACTAAACTAAACCAATCCAAACCAAAGCTTAGGGCACTGTCTATCAAGCTGATTGTGTGTTAATAATTGGTACAACTGAATTACCGATCGTCTAGACTGATTAACCATAATACGATGACTCTGGGTGGCATGTAAATACCGTAATGAGCCAAATCAGTGCAATATATATCTATTTTTGTGATGAGTTCAATTAGATTAAAATAATTCTCCTAAAATAAGATAATTTGTGTGAAGTGAAAGAGATGCGCGCTCAAACTGGAGTCGAAGAGGAACTTTCCAGACTCGGAGTTTTTACCCGGACCGCATTTAGTGAAACGAACATCCGGAAGTAGATGTAAACAGGCTACTGCTCTCGCTCGCTTTCCTGAAGTTTTTGCTTATGTGCCAGAAAAAATGGACGACCAAGGATGTCCCAGGTGCAAAACAACCAAGTACAGAAACCCGTCTCTGAAGCTGATGGTGAACGTCTGCGGACACACGCTGTGAGTTACTCCCGCGCTGCCGAGCCTCACTGACAAACAGGCTTCTCATGGTTACATTCATCCTTGTAACGCGTTCAATGATTAATCTGAGCTAATGCAGAAATATTTATGCTGATTAATGAATACATGTTTCCTTTCTTGTATTAATTACGATGGTAAAAGCCAGAACCCTTGCGCGTCCCTCAGATAAGGCTCTTTTCTCAGATCTGGAGTCAGATCCAGTTTGGTTCGTGACCATGATCATGTTCAGCCCACTGGTACTGACTGATCGCATCAAATTAGATCCAGCTGGAACTTAAAGGTGAACTACTGTATGTACCGTTTATGGTGGAGGATCAGCCAGAATATTCCGCAATATGGCATCACATTTGGCTGTCCACAACAGGCGGTGACAAAACAAGACTGTGTCCGTTTAAAAGTAAGACAGATGAGATAAATGACACGCTATGGATCATTTCAGGCAGAGCTATAACATCTCCATAGAAAAGAAAAGCAGGTGGTGAACCCTACCTTGCAAAGATAAAGTAAAATACACTGTTACCAGTGTTATATTAAATCTATTGCTTCATTGCAGTTCCATATTCATAATAGTGAACTATCATAGAACCTCAACCACAATTTTTACAGGCATTGCCATAATGTCACTGTAATACTGTTATCAGAATATTTCCTGAAAAATATTGAGCTATGCATTATTTTCATGCCATTCCATCCCCACCTAGTTAAAGAGGTAATTGTGTTTTTTGTGAGTTTAGTTGTTGTGAATATGGGTGAATGCAATACTTGTTAAGTTTAAAACAATGTTGAAGTCTTTTGTTGAGAGATTTCTCAGACATGTTTAGAGCAGCTTCACATCAGCATTATTTGTGTGTAAACTATAGCTGCACCCTGAGTCTGAGCTGGTAAGGTTTATGGTGCAAACAGGTGAGTGAACTGTCCATGGTTGTGCTCAGAGATTGGGCAGACGCTGCTCCTTTCCCCTCCCCTCACTGTGGGAGCTGCTGACAGCTGCAGATGGGACTGATACAGTGGGACAGGTGAGAGAGGCACACCCTGAGCTCCGACTTGGGACAGAAGCTTTGTTTGTCATGTTGAGAGTACACTTCACAAGAAAGACAACCAGTCACCTCCCTGCCTCTTAGGGCCTCTGTTCTTTGCTCTGTAGTTGCACAGGATTTCTCCAATGGAGAGTGTTGTGTGGTCCATTTATGGGGCAAGGGGCAAGCTACGCCCCGTGCCTTGTCCTGTCCTGATGAATGGGTTCTTTGTGGGCCTGTGGAAACAAGCTGGATCCCCCTGTCTACCTCCATATGGCAGAGCTCTGCTGCTCCTGCCTCGGGGCACTGCGAACATCTGCCTCCTGCAGATCCTCCTGCTCCACCAACTGGACACCACACTGTAGATCAGATTGAACTGAAGTTGGAGGAAAAGACATTTTAAGTGTAACTGTAAATTCAGGCTCTTCTTAATGGAATGTTTTGAGATGTTTTACTGACTGTGACCCTTATCTGAGATGTTTGCATAAACAAACAAAATGCCTAGCTCTGCACATTTAACTTTACAAAGCTTTCTGAATTCTGCTGATGACATGAAATAACCTGTATGGTGACACTTTTGAAAGGTGCTTGACTTTTGAAAGGTGCTGTATTCAGTTGGACTGATATCCAGACTGAAATCGTAAAAGTGTGTATTCTTGGCAGGCCAGGCAAATATTCAGTGCTATTTTAATCTAATAGTTGTTCTGTCTAAAACACAATAAGACCTAAAGCCAGTGTTTTCTCCTGTGGTAGATGGTAGTGGCTGATACTTAGCAGCATGAAGGATCTTCTCTGGAAATAAAGCTCTCCCTGTGTAAATGTTTCCTCAAGCCAGGCCCATCAGGGTGCTCCAGGAGCACTGTGATGGGTAAACGCACCTGTATACTGGACAGCTGATTGATGGCTGTGCTTAGGGCTTACTAATCCTATGGCAATTTATTTTGCCAGTAGTAATGTGTTTCATGAATGTAATGAATGTTGGAAAAAAAACATTATGAGCATGTTCTTCTCATGTAAATTATCACTGCTGAAATAAATCCCATTAGTAGAATTTGACTTCTGTGCCAATCAGCTATTCATTCTCTGTTCTTAATTCAGTCCAAGTGTGAGTGATTTTTTTGGGAATATCCTGGTGGCAATATTCATACAATTTAGGGCAGATTATAGGCAGATTATAAAATAGTATTTGCTTTACACGCAGACATTATGGTTAAAATGTGCCTTTAAATGTCATGATTGGGGTTCAAGTATGGCATGACATGTAAAATTAACACGAAAAGTGAAGATATATCACTTTATACCCTTATTTGAAACTTGAATCTGCAGGATTGTCTGTTTCTTTTTTACTAAGATCTTACTGTAGCCTTTATTATAGATTATGCTTAATATTCTAATTTTGCATATCCTGAGATTTTATACAATTCATGTGTCTATTCATTCTAAAATTTTAATCTATTCTTTCAGTCTGTAAAAGATCTAAGCATTGTGCTTTTTCTTTACCTTGGCCGTGTTCCTAAATCATTATGAATACTATGTTGAGTTAAAAAAAACAGGGAGGACACAGACACTGTTCTGATGTGGTGTCAGACTAATTTCCTTCTGTCTGAGAGCGGCAGCAGCATAATCGACATTCCAATCATAACCCCAACCCTCTCTGAGCACTCAGCCCATTAGCACCCACGGCGTCCTCCGCTCCTTCAGGCACTATACTCTGCTCCCTGCACTGAAATGAGCTTTAGCTGCTCGAGGTGCCGGCAGACATTCACCTGAAACCCTTGTGTTTGTCTGCAGATGTGAGAACTGTGTGGAGATGCTGTTTGTGCGGGGATCAGGGAACTGTGTGCAATGTGACACGCCCCTGAGGAAAAGCAACTTCCGTGTGCAGCTCTTCGAGGACCCCACGGTGGACAAAGAGGTGGAGATCCGCAAAAAAGTGCTGAAGATGTACGTGTGAGGGCGGTGGGTGGGGTCAGTTTATGTGTGATCCTGCGCCTCCTCCCTCTTCTTAAGCCACCTTTGTCTTTCTCATTACTGTGTTTGTTTTGTAGACAATGAGTCTCCCCGGGGGGGCTCAAATGGGAAGGCTCTTTCCCTGCCAGGTTTTTACTCCTCAGCCCCTCCCCGCCTGTCTCTCATCTGCTCTTTAATAGCTCCTTAATTGACATCTAATGTGTGTCTGTTAGGCTGTAGGCAGACATGCTGTTATAAAATGGTTGATTTAATGGGGGTTATTAATGTCTGTATTTTTTCCCTTATGATTTTCATGTTGTTCTGTCCTCACAGATATAACAAAAGAGATTTTGACTTTCCCAGCCTGCGAGAATATAATGATTATCTGGAGCAAATAGAGGATATAGGTAAGAGCTCCAAAGTTTCACACATGAAAGTTGCCAAAACAGCTCCCAATACCACAGCTAATTTCCAGGCTCCTATCACTCCTATCTCATTTGTGCATTACTCTCGCTATTGTCGCTGTTTTTGGGATATAGATGTTCTGGAGCTGTAGCACATGTGGAAACAATCCTGGTTTTGAGCTGATCATTTTGAAACAAGGAAAGCTATGCTTTCTACATTGTGTACATAATTTATTTTGTCTTTGTCAGTGTTCAACCTGACAAATAATATTGATGTGGAGAACACCAAACAGAGGATGGAGCAGTACCAGAAGGAGAACAGAGATATCATCCAGAGGAATAAAGCCAAGCTGGTGAGTACAAACTGCAGCAGAGGGCAATCTGTGTAACTGTAAGTCAGTTTTCACAACAGCATGTCTCCACAGACTCGAGAGCAGGAGGAGCTGGAGGAGCTGCTGCTCCTGGAACAACAGGGCAATGAGCAGCGCAGACTGGAGGCTTTGCAGGAGGAGCAGAGGCAGCTCCAAGCCAAGAGGAAGAACAAGCAGGCTCTGCTGGATGAGCTGGTGAGCATACACACATATACACGCCCACACACACACACACACACACACACACACACCTACACACCTACACACGCGCACACACGCGCACACACACACACACACACACACACACTCATAAGATACCTGCACAGGCGACAGGTGTCATGAGGAGAGTGGCTGTATTCCCTTGCCTCACTGTTCATTAAGAGCTTATTACAGCTCATTGTGTTGCTGCCCCATTGTCCTTACTCTAATTTCAGAGCCCTTTGGCACTATTGTGTTGAGCCGTGGTCTTTAGTAATAATTGTTCCTGGGGAGTGGGCTGCAGAAGGCATCAGAAACAGAGGCTAAAGCTTGTGTTTGTTTGTTTAAAGCACAGGGCTGTTGACTGTAGCCCTCCAGGGGGGCTCCCATGAGCTCTGTCATCTGTAGCCCCCTGTGGCTCCAAAACACATCTAACTGTGGCCATCTTTTTCACATGCTAACTCTTGAAAATCACTCTCATTATTTAAAAAAATATACTGAACTAGAAACTGAAATTTAATTATTCTATAAATGTATTATAAAGGATAATGCTGCCACTGGATCAAGTAAATTCTATTGTGTTCATACTTTTAATTTGACATGGTTAAATAAAATGGTACTATTGTGGCCGTGCTTTCCACTTGTCAACTGTGTCCTAGACGTGTCCAAACTCTTCAGTTGTCTGAACTGGCAGCTGTCCAAACAGCTGACCTTGAGTTTAGTGTCAGTGAAGACACTGTGGGTTAGCTTTTTCATTCAAATGTGCTGTGTGGCCAGTGCCTTCAAATGACATTAGTAAAGTGCCAACATGGAAAGTGAGTCTTTTCTATGTGTCCAGGAACAGTCTCAGCTTCCTGCCACCATCTTACTGGCCCAGCACAAGGCCCGCGCTGCCCAACTGGAGACAGAGATCGAGCACCAGAAGCAGAGTGTCAAACCTGCCAGTTTGTTCTCCACTGGGATCCAACAGGTAAGGTCCCAAAATTGTGACCTATATTCAGCTTCAAACATGCCCACAACTTGTACATGCTGTAAAGGGGCTGCACTTTCTTTGAACAATACTTCTACAGATATGATGCTGCAATTACAACTTAAGGGTACATTTAGTATACTGCATTACAAAATGAGGGCTTGCAAACTAAAAGTAGTCACAGTGATGAGCTGCACATCTCAACTGCTGTTCTATGATTATGAACAAGTACTTGATAAAAAAAGACTCCTTATTTTAAGTCACTAAACATTTTGTTTCACATCAACAAATAAAGCATCAAGTTTCTAATCAGCTGTCTGTCAACCGTCTTTCCATTTAATAGCTGTTTCAGTAAATCCATTCAAAGATTGGTAATGTGATGCACAGTAAAACAAACATAGATAGGTCATTCTTGAACACTTGTTTATTGATGTGGAAATAGTTGAAATCTGTTGAGTGAAGTAGTTTGGCTTGACAGACAATGGCCGTATTTGTCTGATTGCACATTTTCCCCAGTGCAGAAAGCCAATGCTCTATTTTTCAAAACCATAACTCTAGTAGATCTTATAGCCAGGAATGATGTTAGATTATAGGCATGTATACAATCTACATGTCAATACATGGAGTGATACATTAGTTTTATTTTTATATTAAACAAATGTAGATTTCAGAAAGATTTCGATTTGTGGTAACATTGTTGCTTCAGACACTTCTCAAACAGAAAACAACTAGTCATTCTGTTTTAATCGTTCTTCGTTTATTACCTCACAATATCTTTGATGCCAGTTTGCAGAGAAAGGTTGTTCAATACTGAAGCTTCTGTGCAGATGTCTAAGGCAGATGTGGCGGATGGAAAGCAGTATTAGTTTGTGGTGGGACTGAAGTCGCTGATGCAGAGGAACGCTGTGATGGTGTTGGCCCTCCATGTATTCCTCCATGTATTCCTTCATTGACTGGTTGCAGATCTGGGAAAGCTGTGGTGCTGCTGGGGAATGGTGGCTCTGGATTTTCCTCAGTCCAGACTCTTCCAGGCTCTAGAACAGTTGTTTGAGTTGGTGAGGTTTCCGACAGAGCAGCACATTCCTGGAGATTGTTGGAATGAATCTGCCGAGTTGTGGTCTCTTGGTCATGATTTTTTTTGTTTTGTTTTTCTTCTTCCTTTTAGTTTTTTCTTTGCCTGATTTAGACGTTGCAAAGCGTGGCACAATTCTTCTAACTGATTGAAGCTGTTTACAGGTACCTGTTTCTTTTACATTTTTGATAAAATAATAAAATAATGGAAACATGCTCTAGGTTACATTGTTCTGCATTAAAATACTAGGGACAGTTTGTCATAAACAGAGGGTATTACCTGGACACTGGACCAGATCTGAGCCAGGATGTGAGTGAGGTGTGCCTAAACTGCTAATAAGATAAGATTATTAAAAAACAAAGAAACAAACTAAAAAACAAACAAACAAGAAGACTGCTCATTAAAATCTATTAATGCACTGAACATCCAACAGGCATAACACAGACATATTTGCTGTTTAATCTTTTTAAGTTCTTCAAGTGCCTGATGTAACACACAAGTTGTAGTCAGGCATTTCGATAAATTTAATAAAACTATTGATAAATTAACGGTTTTCAAACAAACTTATACACTGAGTACTAAAGAACAGATGACATTACAGTTTAGTAAAAATGTAGTGAGTTGGTGGACTTGCAGTGTGTTTTACTGAGCCATTAAGAAAGTTGTCTTGTTCTCTGGACAAATGTGGAAGGATTTTAATAGTGACAGTGATGAATGGACATGTGCTGATGCTTGACCTCTGTGGATCTGCTGTTGATGAGTGAGTCCTCCCCTGCAGCCCCTCTGCTGGCAGCTGCTTCACCCTGGGGCCAAGGTAAGCCTTGCACAGGGCTATTACAAATAGGCCTGTTTTCAGTCGGTGGGCGCAGGGGTGGCACTGGTGTCACAGTTTCTCAATGCCTGAGTCTTTAAATACAGCTGACCTCATAGTGTGTCGTGTGGTGTCAGGTTGTTTACTGAATATGTTAGGATCTCCACACTGGTGCTGGGACGACTGTCCATGGCGCTGATAAAAGGGAGCTAGCCTGAGGAGGTTTACTGATCCTAAAGGAAAGTGGTCTTTTCCAGGTGTGATGTGAAGTGGGATGGGCCTGGTCTTGCCCCAGGAATGGTCTGAAATCATTTACTAATCCTTCACTTTGTAGATGCTGTGCTGAATGAAGCCATATACACATGAGTGCAGGCATAGACATAGACGAGCACAGTGCACTGGGCACACACTTTATTCTTTTGAAGAATAAAGTGTGTTTTTCAAAAAGACATCCGTGCAAATGAAAAGGCTCTCTGAGCCAAGGCTTTATGTTCACTGTTCAAACAGACTGTTCTACACAGGAACAGCCAGATACAGCACAGAGTTATTTGAGTTTTATTATTTGGATTAAAGACTTTTTTTTGATGTTGTGTGAGACTTACTGATATTAATGTTATCTTCAAACTTCTGGATAGGTTGAACAGAGAGCAGTGGTGCTGAGGGTCAGTCCTTGTTTACAGGCGGCAGAGCAGCTGACATACCTGACGAGGCTGCTGTGGTCTAATGTAGGCACTCGCACACATAAACAAAGTCCAACTCGTCGGCCACATGGGGGTGGAAAATGTTCATCTAAACATAGAAAATAAGCTTCATTAAATGGGGTTCTCCTTGGCTCCATTGCCTGGTAGGCTCAGACTATGGTATTTAAGCACCACTGAAAACATATGTGATGAGGATGTTTGCTCAGGCAGGTTTGGCTCAGGTAAATTGCCCTCCACAGTATGACCTTAGCTCACTTAAACACTCGTCAGAGCAGGCACGGCTCTGTGTTACTCTACTATGCACCGCAGACTGGCCAAACCTGTTCTGCCTACGTGCCTTCTTACCCCCAGTCCACAGTATTCTTTTATCTAGTGAATGAAAAAGAGAAAGCACACTTTACACTTAGCTAAAGATGGGCTGAATGAATAGTCTGTGTGAGTTTTCAGACCTACAGGAACACTGCTGGCCTCCCTGGCTCAAGGAGAGGGTCATTTAAGGGGTGGATTGTGAGACCTGATTGGCACTAGCACATGTGGCATTCACACCTATGCCCCTGCCCAGTCTGGCTCTGGCTGTCCCAGGCAGTGACGCCCAGCCCAGAGGAAGGAGGACTTTTCAGCCTTAGAGGCTTTGTGCAGGGCAGCTGCTGCTGGTCCTGGCGTTATATTTAAACCTGTGAGGCAGGGGGTGGGCACTCGCTTTTACACTTGCTACTTGGTGCTCTCAGCCTGTATGCGGTTCAAAGCCTTTTATCCTCACAGAAGCCCAGGCTGCACTAGTACAGAGGGAGAATGCTCTAGTCCAAGCACTGCCCTCTAAACCCTATAGGTTGGACATATGCTGTGTGTCTGATGGTGCTGATGGTGGCTTCCACAGGACCTTGGTGTGTACTGCTGAATTGCTTTGATGAAGGACACCAAAGCACGGAGTCTTGTGTTTGTGTGAATCAAGTATGTGGTTCACAGTCCATCCTGAAACCTCTATATTATACACTCGCATGTCCTGTAGGTTATCACTGTAATATTTATGCGTGAGTGAGAGACCAATTTCAGACAGCACCTCTCATCTGAAGAAGGTGTCATGACCATGTGCCTTTTCTGTTTGATTATTCAAAATTCACTAGCCCTTGCTTTCACGATTAACTAGTTAATCAATTGACTATACAAGTAACAATATAATTGTAACTTTGTAAGAAGTAAAAAAAAAAAGGATGCTTTTATAAACAAAAAAGTCATTTACAGTAAACTTACTCCAAAATGTGCTGTTTTTGTCACAGTTTATTGTTTGTTTATTTTGATCCTCATTAACATCTACAGTGTAGTGCTTCAGCTCCTCCTCCTGGGATCACTTTAAAATCAGAAAGATTTCATCAAGTTGTTCACATAATAGAGGAATGTTGATATAGTATTCTGGCATGCGTGTAAATGTAGTATGACATTTGATTATGGTGTTAAAAATAATGAATTGTAAAATTGTGATAACAATAATCGAAATTGATATTGTGACATTGCTAGTAGTCACTATTTAGTGGTGCAAGTACCCTAAAACTTGTACTACAGGTTTTTGCCATTTCCTTGTCTGTGTGGCAGTATGTAAAGAGGGTCTCAGGGGCTACATTCACATGTCAGTGAGGTCTTGTCATTCTGTTAATAATAGTACAGATGAAAGCAGGAGTGATGCTGTTGTCTGTGCTGGGGGCTCCTTAATGTGAGAAGCAGATGTTTGTATTGGCTCAGCAGAAGCACGCTCCCTGTTTTTCACAGAGGAGTTTTACGGACAGGGAGAATGGGTGTGAAGTAAACCTATCAGACAAGCAATGCACTTGACCCTGGCAAGACCATCCCACAATGCAGTGTTAAGTAATTAAGAGTCTTTATTACAGTATATTTTAAAAATAGTGTTTATCTTAAACAAATTGTCAGCAGAAGTGAACAAACTTACAGCAGCTCCATGCTCTATTTTCATGGCAAAGTAGTTCATCCACTTCACTGTGGCTCAACCTTTGATTTACATTTCATCTCAATATTACAGGTTTGCCTTAATTGCTGTGAGTTTGACCCGCATTGACTTTTAAGGGAAACTGTGTGCAAAAGACAAGGTGCTGCTGCTGCTAACCAACAGCTTATTGTGCATTTCAATAAAGTTATACTCTGTGGTACAGGTAAGAATGAATGTTTGTTGCTCAGAATGGTCCATGGAAATGTGATGTCATTATGCTTTGTTTCTATACAGACATGAGCAGACCAGAGAGCTGGTTCAGACTAAACCACTCTGTCTCTGTGTGTGGTTAGGTTCATAATAAAATCTATTGGACAATAGCTGAATTTCTTTCTGGTTTTGTGTCAGCTCTTTTGTTTCGACTGCTCTAAACTCTGTGTTGGAACAAGCACTGACCATTTTGTATGATTGTGTTGTCTTTCTTTAGAACCAGACAGTGTCTCTTCAGCCTGTGCCCAGGATTGAAGAAGTGCTGTACCAGTACAGGCCCCTGAAGGTGGACACGTATGGACCGCCTGTCCCTGAGCTGGAGCAGCTGGGAAGACTGGGGTATGTGTACAGAATCACACTGCATACTATCCAGAGAACATTTACTTTTATTCATAAACTGCAATTAATACTTTCCAATGCTGGAATAAATAGAAGAACAGAGAGATGATTTTCTTCATTGTCCCTGACAGTTGTATACAGTGTGATTTATTTCAACTGGGATCAAACTGAGGCTGAGGTACTTGCCACAGCTCCCACAGATGCATGAACAGGAGATAGCTTAGTGTTGCTTTTTTGTTATTTTTGATTCAAGCTGAAGGTAAGCAGGAAATAATAATTATTTCTCATCCTTACAATTTTGTATATGTATGCATATACAGTATATACATATGCTTATAATGATATTAGTATATTATAGTTTGACAGGTCTATTTAAATTCAGGTGTGTTATATTTATATATTTATATATTATAGTACCAAATACAGTATTAATTTTATGCGTTCCTCCCTGCTGTGCAGCAGAAATACACCATGCAATACATTGGTTTCATTCTGTCTCTTATTTGATAGACATTACCGTTTCACACAGTTGGTTCAGTTATGCGCTGTGTGTTGTATGTTGTAACATAAAATGATCACTAGCCCCGTTACACTGGTAGCACTGCTGCATCTTTCACTGATCTCCACTCCATTGGACATGCTGCTGTTATTGGGCGAGAGAAACACTGAGCCCCTGGTCACTGTGGGAGACCTTGTTGACTTTGCCTGCCTGAGATTGTGACCTTCATTTAGCTGAGAGCAGTCTGCTTCAGCAGAAAGTCGGCATGCTTAGCAAGAGGATTTTCCACCTTTTATTAAACCATATTTATGAGATTTAAAGGAAATGGACTGTGTGTCACCAGTTGTATTTGCCCAGTTAATATACATGTAAGTTCCTAATTCAAGTGTAAACATCTTGCACAGGGCAGAGGTAGTTTTAGTACAATTCCTGGCACTTATTTACATGATGTATTCTGTGAAGTGCTGAGGTCCTGCTTCTTCTGGAGTGATCAATATGCAGATGAAACACATCTCACAGTTTTTGCTGTGTGTGGGACTCTGAGAGGCGCACGTTTAGGGACAGGGTGTGACTGGGGGCACACAGTGTCAGCAGTTCAGTGTCCACTAAGACCTTGCTCCACCATAAAGATAAATGAGCAACGGCAGTCCCTCAGGTGTATGCCACAGTGACACATCCAGGTATGCATAGACAAACCACAACTCCCAGGATGCAGTGCTCTGGTAAGTAAAGCAAGCAGTATTGCTGACTCTTTTGTGTAGTCAGCTCTTTGTGTGATTCAGCTAAGTTTGGCGTTGTGTGCTAACGCAGATACATTCCGTGCCCCTGACAGTGTCCCCTAAACCTGGAATACATTTCCAGTTCCCCTCACGCACACTCAGCCCGGTTATTGCAGTCCCAGTGTTTGGACGTGCTGTAGTCTGTGATGTGGTCAGTGCTCCAAGGGGAGGGGGGGCAGACAGTCGGCTCTGGGACCACTGAGGCATTATACTGAGAAGTGTGAGTGGATGAGTGTGCATGAGCTGAGCGCCTGTGACGGGCACCAGAGCATTTCAGATCAGATGGAGGCGACGGCACTGCCCATTTCTTCTGGACACAAAAAGCAGTGTGCAGCCTTCTGACTGCACTCCACGCAAGCCAGTCTACTCTTTTCTATTCTCCTTTACCTCCATGTGTCAAGTTGTCCTTGCCCATTGGGCCGAGAAATAGGGGTACATCCAGGCTTTTAAGTTTGCAGGACCCAAAAAATGCAAACGAACTTCTATTAAAAACAGCTGCAGAGGGCCCCCAAAAGAAATTGTTCAGATTTCAGCATAGCCTTTGCTTCCTTTGCATAGACTGACAGTTTTCACGTCAGGGATAGGTGTATGAGATCGGCCCCAGAGGAGGGAACTTCTATGAGATCTTTGTAACTGTCTCAAATTCAGAACAAACACTCAAATAGGAATACAAAAACTCTATTCCACACAGCTCATGTCTGTTTGGGTTCCTGCTGCACACTATAAAACATCTTCTAAACAAAAACAATCAGAAGTAAATATTTCAAGCACAAACAAAACCATATGAATCTGCAGTAGTAGCTCCTGTATAACTCAAACCAAGATGACTTTTGTCTCCCAGAAACATCCTCTTAGGCCCATACAAGGAAAACAAATAACGTCTGATTCATACCTTATTTCCACAAAATACTGCTTTCTCCATGAATAGTTTAAACCACAGAGTCTGTAGGTGATGAAAGGCTGTCCAGGAACCCGGACAAGAACAAATCACAGAGATGGGGGTGTGGGGGTGCATAGGGGAAAGAGAAATGGACTGCATACCATTCAAAAATCCAACTCAAACCTCAAGTGCTGACAATGAGAGCTTGCCAGAACAGTTGTTTGTGTTGGCACAGGTTGCCCTGAAATGAGGCCATTTCTTTGACAGAGGCTGGTTTACAGGCTTTGCCAAATGCCAGTGTCTATAATATTTAGAAGTTTTTGCTTCCTCCCCCACTCTACACTGCATTCTATAATTGGTGGAAAATGTTTTTTTCAGCTGTAAGCGCTTGTCAGGCATTGGTTCTATTGGATGGGGCAGAGGGAGCAGCTGGGTGTATGGTGTTTAGTCTGGAGCTCTTCTCTGGGGATGGACCTCTCTGCACAGGAAGTACCTCCACAGAAAGAAAGCACCAACTGGAGTCTGCTAGTGATCTGCAGTCAACTATATTTAAATGAGTTGTAACATTCAGTTATGAAATCTATTTTCGGACGTGTGGGCCTTAAGTTTGGGACTACCCGAAATGTGTCTAGTTCATTATTGGACAATTGAGACCAATTGATCTAGCGTGTGCATGTTTTTTGGATGACGACAGCAAGCCAAAGTATCAAAGTAAGTAATACTGGTTGGACTATGGTGTATGTCTCTTTACTAGGGCTGCCACGAAAGATTGGATCCATGAAATTGAGTCAAGATGTTGACATCATATTAAATTAATTGTGAATTAGTTTACAGTTTTAGTCCCATTTTTTTTATTTTACATTTTTTCTCTAATTGTAGTACTTTATGGATCTGCTGTTTCTCTATAGGTGTAACTCACCAGTACTTAACCCACAAACAGTTCCTTCCTTTTCAGACGCAAGTGATTAAGTTGAACCATTTTCCTACATTCATGTCCTCTAGTATCACTGAACAAGAATGGGAAAAAGACTCGGTGAGAATTTAAATTCTACACCCGTGGAGAATTTTTAAGTGCTATACTTCACAGAGGTTCCTGCCTTTGGGCCTTGTTAAATCAGCTATAGGCAGATTGTGCTTTAACACAAGTTAAGTAAACGAACACAAATCTTAGCGTAAATATATACGTATATATTTTTAGAGGTGTATAAAATGTAAAGCCCAACTTTGCTTCTGAGTCACTTGACTCTCAGCAGGGTGAATTCTCTACTGACAGGGCTGTCAAACCCACAGGTCAAGAAAAGTGAGAGAGGCTGAGAGGAGAGAGCCCATGCAGGTCAGGGTCAGAGGAGCAGGAGGTGGTCAAACTGCATACAGACAGCAGCAGAGTGATAGCACCTTCGAGAGGCTGTGCTCAGGCCTCCACACTCTCACTGGAGCTTTGAAGCCGGAGTTACGAGCTTTAGAGAGCACGACCTCGTGTGATCTCTTCTGCAGCACCACTCTTTTGATCAGGGAACTGTTATAAATGGTCTCAACACACATATCTTTGTGTTCACATTTGGCATATTTAGATTGAGCTAGTGATTGTTATAGTCTTGTTTTTCAACTACAAATGGCAAATAAACTTACTTAATTTTACTTCTTGCATCACTTGAACCTAGCATTAACAGAATTCAAAATGCTCCGAACTGTAGCTCATCATGAGGCTTGCGTTCTCTGTAGGTCAGGACTGGAGGCAGGTCAGCCGCCACAGATTGACTATTTGCATTTAACCAAAAGAGTTCATGTCATCTAAAAGTGTGCAGGCTTCAGTCTGATGATTTGACTGGCAAATCCTCTTGTGTCTACAAAGTGTCTTCACTGGCAGCCCACAGCGTAGCTCTGATTCCCCTCTACTGTAAGTGCGCACTTCTTACAGCAGTGGATCAGAAAGAGAGTAGAGCACGGCCATTGTCTGGTCCTCCCCCACCCAGCCCATTATCCTTCTGTCTCTGTAAACACGCCATTAACAGACAGAGCTATGGAGGCAGCATCACTATTGTTTTTCCCTCCCATAGATCTGAGCAAATATTGATCTTCTCTTGAAGTATGACTCAAAATACTCAGCGCAGCCACTGACTGGAGCTTTTTACATGTGGGAGATCCACAGCACACAGGGACTGCACGTAAAGCTGTCAGTTTGACCTGTTTGTTTCCTGCTTTGATAGTTTATTTTCATGAGACTAGACTGCATCAGGCCTCTGGTTTGTTGGTGGCACAGGGTCAGCACAGCTCTGGGGATGTCCTGTACTATTTTAACCCAGGTGTGTTGGTGTGAAGTGGGAGTGTAGAATTGCATGGTGGCGGTACTCCTCAGAAGTGAACACATCCAGACACACAGAAAGTGTCTGTGCTCTTGCCCCTGGGGCAGCGGCCTCTCTGTGCACCCGGGGATTAGCAGGCTCATTTTCTTCTCTTAGTAGCTGCGGAAAGCAAACAAGCTCTTGTCATGTAGCTGCGTGGACCTGCCGCCTCATGGTAAGAAGCTCGCCCTCACTACTTTGGATGAATTTGGTTTCAAAAAAGTAAATTTCTGTTCTAACTACTGATGTTTTTGTGCACCACTGAACAATGAGAACATTGTCAGGAGGAACTTTGTCCAGGGCCTATACTTGCTGTGCTTATGCAGTTTGTTTCTTTGGCCTTTTCCCAGCTCGGTGTCTAATTGAAATCCTCTGGAGATGGTCCTGTAACTGATACCTGTGAAGCCCTGTCCCCTCCCCTGGCTGCTCTATTCTCACAGCGTGTCATAAATGTGTGGTGGCTCTGTTCTTTGGGCGTGCCTAGTGGACATTTACTGAGC